CACAACTAAAAAGAAGAATTCAGAATAGAGAATCAATAGGGTCTCAGAATGTTAATATATAATTATATTATATTACATGGACGTAATTTCTTTTCTGATCGGCTTGTTATAATTTCGTGTCAATAAGTGTGCTGACTCCCATTTTCTTCTCAGGAAGAAATAAAATGTGTAGTCGGTGGGAGTTTTAAGTGTAATTTTTTTATGTGAAGTAAAAAGGTTTTTGAGTTTGAATTTGACAATTTGCGTGATTGACGAGCGCGACTTTATTCTCCCTGAAGGTACCTCATTGGTGCGATAGAATATACACCGTGTACAGTCACTATTCCGACAGATACGACAGGCCTTTATACTAATTCTATATGGACTCCATTTGTTCTGTCAGCTCCAAGATGGGACTCTCGCTTAGAGGCAGCATGCCTGTCGTCGGCGGTAGGCTGTGCCCTTGCCAGTTTGACTGGAAAAAGAAATAATCTTATAATTCGTACATTACATTATATACTACTGAAATAAAACAGTCGTGCGTAAGTAATACGTAGGTACAGTCTTTACAACTAAATTGTTTGTACTTTTACGTAAAGTTCTGCTGGAAAAAACACGCGTAAAGCGTAGCAGCAAGTAAAGTTTATCGCCCGCACCTTTTATTTAGTTGTATGTGCGTGTGTACTCGATGTACATTGACAGGAATGAATAGCGTCATGTGAGGTGCTGCTTTTTAATTTTTTTGTCATTAAAAATTTTTAGGTCTTTCTTAATTTTTTTAATCATTAAACATTTCGTTACTATCATAAACATGTGTTTTATTTTTAAAAGAATAATACCAAAATTTACAGGCGTCCCGCTCTGGGGATAAAAAATAATGGTCACGATAGATATACTACATGGTTCACCAAATGAAGCAACGACCTGTTTAAATTGACTAACCCATAGCATGTGCGCTTCTTCGCTTTTAATCTAAAATTCATTGACAGGATATCGATCGATAGATATCCATCATGATAAATCGAATAACATAAGTAGATAACGAGTTTTTAGGTTTTCGCAATTGTTACACATAGGAAATGAAACTATTTTTCCGGATTTAAATCGCATATATTTATTTTTTCAAACAAACCGACGTTTCGGGTCCTTTACAGGTCCCATGGTCACGGTTGACTGCGGTGGTGCAGTCTTCAACCAGTTATAACTGGTTGTTCAAAGAAACCGACGTTTCGGGCCTTTTACAGGTCCCATGGTCACGGTTGCCTGAGGTGGTACAGTCTTCAACGCGTCGCTGTGCATGAAGGCACGCGGTCGCAGGAATGCTCGAGTATTCGCGGGAATGCTCGAACATTCACGAGCTTTCTCGCGACTGCGCCTTGATGCTGTAGTATTTCGTCGAAGTTTGACGATTGTGATTTTTGGCTCGTTTCTAAGTTGTACATTATACAATGTATGAATGAAATACAATTGACCATACAGTGCATTACGCTATGTAGGTACAATATCGTTACAAAAATTCCACTCCATTCCGCCGCAATGAGCCTTACTACCCAAATAATTCACGCCCGTCCACTGTCACTGTAAACGGGTGGTAGAAGCACAGCTTATGAAAGTCACGTTACTGAGTTCTTAGGTTTTTGTGATTGTGTTTAACAATATAGGAAATGAAACTGGTTTTTCGGATCTAAATCGCGTGTATTTGTTGTTTCAAACAAACCAACATTTCGGGTGGATATAGGACTGAGAACGGGAGTAAAATCCTGATTCGAAAAACAGTTTAATTTCCTAAGTCACCATACTTACCTATATTACACGGAATTGCATTAAGCCGGCCAAGAAGAGCTTTATGTCCATGTAATAAGAGCGAAAAAGACCCGAACGAAAATGAAACGCGTGAAGTTTTTTTCGCTCTTAGAGCCTATGCACACGGCGTATTTTATACGCGCCAACGACGCGCGTTTATCTGCGCGTATACGCGCCGCAGACGCGCTGTAGTGAAACGATTCAAACGCGCGCAAACATCGCGTTGCAAGAAGCTTACATACTCCACTGGAGTTTACACTTAGAATTTCGAGTCATGGCTTCATTTCAAAAATTAACTGAAATTAATAAACAAAACTAAAATTAAAACTATCTTTTATCAAAATGTGCGATACATACGCGCGACTACTGCGGGTCTGCGGCGCGAATACGCGCATACGCGCGTCATCGGCGTGTTTAAAATACACCGTGTGCATTGGCTCTTATTATACAGAGATCATAAAAGTATTTTATCGGCTGAAGCCGATTCCGCGGTAATTAGTGTGGTGACTTCCTTACGAATTATGTGAATGAATATCTAACTGATCAGACGATCTCGGTGGTGCAATTGGCACTGTGGGCGCAGGATGAAGAGGAATTTGGGAAATGAACTTTTTTAAATTGGTTCTGGTTGGGTGTTCTGGGAAGTGACTCAGAGTGAATTCCGTTGCTCTGGTACTCATAGCTCAGGGAACTCCCCAGTTTGAGACCAGGCAATTGATGTACCTAGTTGTCTAGCACATTATTATCAGACACTGCCTAGATGCTGTCTAATCATGGACATTTGCCATATCGTAGCCATACAGTGAAAACCTCAGAAGCGTTTTACACATTTTGTTTTACAAAAAAAAAATAGACCTTTAGCTTTAAATGGACAATAATCTTCAGAAAACTGCTAACTTAGACTAAAAATACATGAGCATGCTGTCAAAAGTCGATAATAACGCTCCCATTTCAGTAAAAACGTCTTTTTAGTCTACTAAGTGTGTGGAGTGACGACGATAAGTAAAGGCCAAAACACACGTGCTTAAGGCCGATATACTCGACGTACGTGACGGTAGCAGGTAGATGTGAGACGTCTAGCATCCAAAAATGTATGTATGCACGTAAAAAACATGCCAATAGAAGTCAGATGTAAGGTAAACTAACATATGCAGACATATAAAAGAATTGCCAGTAGCAGATACATTTAAAGTAACTAACGTGTATATACACGTAAGGAGTGACAGTAGCTCATAGGTGTAAGATGACTAACATATGTAAACAAAAAAGATTGCCAGTAGCATGTACATGTAACTAATGTGTGTATACACATAAAAAGACATGGCAGTAGCTGATAGGTGTAAGGTAAATAACACATGCATATATCTATACGTAAGGTTTGCCAGCAGCATAGAAATGTACTAACGTATGTATAAAAGTAACAAGATTGCTAATAGCAGATGGAATAAGGTATCTAATGAATGTGTACCTACACGTAAAAGATATGACAGTAGCAGATAGATGTAAGGTAAGTAGCATATTACGTGCATATAGTAGACCAGTTACATGCAAGTGTATTTTGGCCTTAATGTGAATTGTCTAGTGACAAATATTTTTGTTCAAAATATTTTCGTTATAATGACAATCAGTTAATTAAAAAAATTATTTCTTCGGCTAATAATATCGTCCTAGTTTATTCATGCGCTGTTATGAATTCTACAAAGCATGTAAGTGTATCGGGAGACACACGATATACATTGCGATTGCACGGCTACCATCTGAATTTTCCACCTGAAATAAAAAAGCTGTGATGCAGTCGGAAAGCTTCCGTGTGATTTTGCACTAAGGTGTCAAAATAAAACAAACAACTATCATAAATTTGACATTTACTTGTATTTTAAATAAAGCTATCACATCTTACATACATAATGGTTATTATTATGTGGCAAAATAATAACAAATAAAAATATACAGACTTTCAAAAAGAAAACAAGTACCATAACTTACGTAACAATAATAAATATATAATATTATCTAAAAAAAAATGATGTACCATGGAGTAATAGGCGGCAAAGTTAGATACCGGTCGTCGCTTTGGCGCGAAGTTTGAAACACGACCGCACTCTCAATATTGAAATGACGTAATTGGGAATTTTTAGGAAATTGACGAAATAGGTTAAGTAAAAATACAGTACGTGATATTAGAGTTACTTGTAAAATATTAACAACCTCACCTCGCAGGACTATATTACTAACATTATAATCAAGAACTTTTGTTCCGTGACTTTTTACAAAACATAATAAATTTATCAAAAATAAACTTTTTAACTTCTTGTAGGTATTATCATTGACACTTTTTAGATCTATATTTGATAATAAGGTTGATGTTGTAAGTTCAAATGTGTCTATCCTCTATCCTCCACAACGACCCCACGCCGCTCCTGCGTTTTGCATCGTAATTATAATATCAAGTGACGGAACGAACAAGTCGTGCGCCTGATGGTAAGCGACACGCCTATTCATAAGTAGTTGGCCACGACCAGTTGCAATGCCACTCAGAACTTTAAATCGCAAGAATTTTAGGGGCACTGCCACTGCGCCCGTTACCCTGAGACATAATTTGACAAGTCCCATGTGCTTGTAATTTCACCAGCAAATATGCTCATATAATTGTTTGGCGGCAGAAATACCCTGCACGAACTCTTTCGTAAGGAGGTCTACTGCCATTAAATTTTTTCCCAATTTATTTCTGGACGAAAATAATATCTGATACATTAATAAAAGTCATCTAACAATAGTTGTTGTATAAGATGTAAGGAATATAGTTCTACAAGGTTGTTAATATTATACAAAGAACCCTGTACCTATATGCCATTTGCCTAGTGATAAATATTACAAAATTGTATATAATGTGAAAAATTATATACTACTAGTAATTTTTTTTAAATTTACTTTTCACCTCACAAGTTCGGAAAGGCTTTTTTTTCTCATTAGAAATTTGCGCGCAAAAGTGTTTTTGAAAGGTTTGGTTTTTGAAATTCGAACTTGACGATGGACTGTGGTGCACCTAACTTGTTCTATCGATGAAAAAAAAACAGAGTGACACGGTCAACGCGACTTGTCGTACATGTTAATGTAATGTAAATCCGTTGGTATATTTTATTTTTATTATTGTTGACATTAAATTGACAACGATAACTCATTTTGTTTATTAAAACATGATTAAAACTGATTTGTTATAGTTCAACTGTTTATCTTTCATCTACCATTTTCCTCGCTATAGTGAGGTGAAAAGTTGTTTCGCTCGGTAACAAAGTTGTTTTACGTGTCGTGCCTTGAAACCCTCGCTACGCTACGTTTCAGTACAAGTGCTCGCGTCAAACAACAACTTTGCAGCCTTACATAACAAATAACTATTGTCAATTTCCCTTTTGGTAACATGTTTATGTTCTTTTTTGAGGTACGTCACATAATTATTGTGAGTGCGATTTATCTAATTTGCAGCCTTTAGCATGAAGTTAGGAACAACAATAACGATTTTGGTACAAATAAAATTTATTTAATTGTTTCTAACTGTACATAATACAATAGGCAAGTTAATAATAAAAATGTCATTATGGAATTTGCTAAATCACAAAATGAAACTTGCCATCCTTTAAATACTTTACACAATTAATATAACGTGTATCTTTTGACCTTTCTTCATTTGTCAATGTCATGAGATACGATAGAGGGACGATATTACTTATATGTGATGTCTATCAAAAAATACACGTTACCGATAATCGCAAAAGTAAAGAATTTGCTGGCAGCTCTAGAAATATTCGAAACATTCTTAAATTATCGGATACAAGAGCGCTGCTAAAATTTTATCTCTAAATTATCGCCACTTGTGGGTGACTTAATTTAATTGACCAAAATCTAATGAACAGTGCACTTTCAATATATGAAAACGAGGATAAATATTTTCTTTTTGTTATTAGAGTTTGGTCGTGTAATCATGTTTATATTAATGCAGTATTTCATACAAATTGGCAGTTGCGTAAAAACTTCCACAATTACAAAGCACTACTTATTGTCATGCACCCTAAAGTCCGTACAGGTGAAACTATAGTTCTATTATGCTCACAAGACGCTTTACAAATACAAACTACTTACAATGAGACCATTCTGTGTTCTAGCCAAATTCTGCAACTTGAAGACGGGTATTGAAATAAACAAGTGAAGAACATTGCGTGCACGATCGATACTACCAAATATACTTCTACGCGTAGCGAGATCTACTTTAGTTGGTCTGTTGGAATACCTGGAAGCAAGGCTGAGGCTGGAACAGGCTGGCATTCCACTGTGCTGGCCACAGTGGCGTATCCACCGCAGAATGGCCCGCCACCTCGCCTTCAAGGGACGAGTCCCGTGTCTCTCGCCTCCCCAACTCCGAAATTTGACACGCGCTTTGCAGATTGGACGGCAAGTTCGACCAGTTCTCATTCCCTAATCTATCCTTGTTCATTATGCTTATCTCCATCGATCCCTGATATGCAAATTTGGACACGTCTTCTGGGTTCTCCTCTTGTTTCACTTTCAACCTGTTAGGACCTTCGACAATCGCTTGGAAAGCGAGCAGATCCCTGTTCTCCGTTTCTGTCAAAGGTAAGGGTGGCAGGATTTGTTGTTGTTGAGCAATTTTGTAACTCTGCTGACGTAACATCTGCCGCCGACTAAGCCCCACTTGAAGAGCGTGAAGCGGTCCCAACTCATGAGCAGGTAAATTTGGTGGGGTCATCTGCTTCTGTAGCAATTGCCTTTTCTGTTGGTACAATCTGTGTTGCATTAGTTGCTGCTGCAGAGGAGGCTTGCTGCTCTGAGACAGCGTTGCACCGTGGGGCAAATCGGATTCTTGTAACTGAGGTACCATCTTGGGACTTGCAGGCATGGGTGGAGAAGTGCTCGAGTAATTGAAAGATTCCGGAAGACTTATACGTTTAGGAGTTGGATTTTTAGTATCTAAATAATGTGGACTGAAGCTCGCTGCGAATTGGTTGTGCTGTAGCTGTCTTTGGGTCATCTCCTCGGCCGGTATGGAGGACTGGTATTGAGTTTTTAATTTCTGTGCTTCTTGTTGAACTAGATGTAGCTCCAGGACACCTTTAGCTTTACAGTTCTCGTTGAGCCTTTGACTGTTGAACGCAAGAGTAGTCGGTTGTGTTTCATTAGATTGAGCAGCTTGTTGTGCCACTAGCCCGTCACTCGCCCGTCTGCCTTCTCTAAAATCCACAGGACTTCGTGTAATCGCTCGAGGGCAATTCTTGCTCGCAGTCTGGTAATTGATCGGGTTGTGTCGCGTCATCAAACCTGTGCCCGGTGTTTTATTATTGTATGACGATATGTAGACGCATGGATGCATCGGACTCGTGTTCACAAGAGAACTGTTCTCGTAAGCCAATTTGTCCTCGTTCGAAGTGCAACTGGGTAGGCTACTGGCTAGTTCACTGGAGCAATCTGATAGCTGATAATCCAAACTTTCGAAAGTAGAAAAATTACTTTGAGAGGACTCACAGCTGAGGTTTTGACTTAGACTTTTGTTGTTGAAAAAAGTAACGACGCCGCTACTGGAACTTGAGCTCGCGTAAGAACTTAATCTATTTTGCACGCCGCTTGGCATGCTTGCCACTTCCTCCATATCGGTCTCGCAACCCTCATCCGTCGACGATGAATACTGCTGTTGAAATTTTGTTGCTTCGTTCGTACTGTTTGGTAATGCTTGGGTAAACGTTTGATTTGTGGTATATCTATTAAGGGAAAATTTACTGTCTGGTCGATATAGAGAATTTGGAAAAAAATCACTGGTGGTCGACGCTATGGAAAAATTTGCCTCAGTGGTATTCGATACAGGCGGTAAGACTGCGTTTTGTAAATACGAATATGCTGGAAGATGCGGGTTCATGTAATCTTTGAAGGGCGGAGTGCTGGATTGGAGTCGACTTAGGTCTTGTTGCTGCGCCTGGGACACGAGTCGACTAGACTCTAAAGGCTTAGGCTGTTCTAGCACGCTACTCAGTTTGCTTTCCGTGATTTGTGATGGTATTGGACTAGTACTTAAATTTACTGTGCCCTTCAATGGCAACGGTGACTGCTGCAGTGTGTTCATTAACTTAGCTGCTTCAGAACATATAGTAAACGTCGTTGAATTTGGCAACTTCACACTTTCAACGTTGAAATTTGTTGCTGAAGCTGAATTTTGGAGAAAATTTGCTATGACATTGTGATCTGCCGTTGACGAATTTCTTCCGCCATCTATAGCACACTTTGAATCGAAACTAGATGAGGTTAGTAGTCTACCATCATTAGCGGTTTTCATATCTGAACCGACAGCAGTCGACTGTTGAAGCAATCGCCGGCAATCTTCGCTAGATTGTTTCAGTATATTCTGTTGTTGTTCATATGTGGTTGATAGCAATCTGTGTGTAGGGACGGTGTTTTCGTTAAGTTTGCTTAATCTTTGGCTTGATTGGGACACGTCGATGTTTCTCATGGAGAGTAGCGTCGTGGATTCAGTTTCGTGGTTGCGAGAGTCGAGGTTCGCGACGAGGAAGCTCCGTTGCGTATCCGTGGGGTCGGAGTTTCGCTGGAGCAGTCGTTGCTCCGTCATGTTCACCGCAGCGAGGGAGAGCAGTCGCTGCGTTTCCGCCGACGACGAGTCGACAGGGACAGTGGACAGCGTAGGTGTCACCCTGCTGTACTCTCTGGTTTGCGATTCACCAGCGTGAAACAATCTGGAATTGGTAACAGATTCAATTAGAATGTATCAACAAAATCTTTCTCTAGAGTGAATAAGCATTTACTAATCACGCGTAATGTCATCTGCTATACATATAGTGGTGAGATTGTCGCTAATGTTGCCAAATAGACTAAAGAAAATGTTGCCTGCTACACAGAAGGTTTAAAAGTTGCTAGTTAATAATAATAATAATAACGCACACACTCAACATAGCCCCGCACTAGGGAAATCCTGTGTCGCGGGTGCCATGGACACACACATAGACAACCACAAATTACACCCAAACTCACGAGAGAAATAAATGTAGGCCATACAAATATTTCTCCCGGCCCGGGAGTCGAACCTGGTATACAATATAACCTGGAACCATACCATGGTAACCGTTCGGCCACGAAGGTAGTTCCAAAAAGTAACAAAAGATTTTGTCGTTAAATAAAAATAAAATATGGCTTTTGACGTCAAAACTAGTGACGCGCTTAAACTAGTGATGATGTTGCTAAGTTGGCAACACTGATTTTTGTCAAGTTCGCCGAATTCGCTCTGGGCCTTTTCGAGGGAAAAGTGTCGTTTTTATTTTGACTTTCAATTATTTTGTGAAATCTAGTTTAAAGTGGAATATGATAGTGCTAGTGTGCCTTAATCGAAGATTAAAACGCGAAATTATACGAATCTCGAACTAAAATACGCGTATCGGCCCGTTCTAAGGAATCCCGAGTCAATCCAAGCACGCCGCCTCAAATTGCCTATCCTCTTTGTGGTGGCCATATTTACAGAAATATAATTAAACGTTTATATTTTCGGCTGAAGGACGTTGTTTCCATGGCCAGCAATTAAATTTATTTAAAGAAAAAACAGGTTCGCCTACTTTACAAAACAAAAAACCCTTTTTCATTTTGTCGTTCTTTTTGTCAAAAAAATCAGTGAAATGCAATCCGCTATAATTTAATGATATATTTGGTGGTAAGTATGCAGAAATTGAAATTCGGAATTTTCATTGTTGTCGAAATATCTACAATTCTTACCTGGTATGATGTTCTCGCCTAGCTTCATGGGCTTCTCTAGATAGAGCCTGGTCGGCCACTGAGGAAGGTCTACGTGAAGGCCTGTTGCGAGCTTCCGCCCCGGCTACGGCGCCGCTGGCTGCCCGAGCACGGAGCCGCTCCAGCAAGAGGAGGTAGATGGCTGCATGATGATCGTAGCTGTTTGACCGTAGGCTCTGGAATGTGATTAATGTATATGTTAGTACTACGTCAATTAACGAATCGGCAACAGCTTTCAGAGCTCAACTTATGTGCGTGTTAAAAATGTGTTAAATAATTCTTCAAAGGCGCCAGAAACAATAACTTTATACTGCAGGTTATTTACAGTCTCTGCGTACTAGGATGACAAAAATCCGTGGTAGTGAGTGACCCGTTTAGCTCTTACAGATAGTCTCGATCTAAGATGTTTAAATTAAATTTTGTAATGATAAATGTATTCAAATGTATATTTACAAAGTGCAACCCCTAGCGTTTCTTGCTCTTTGTTCTCAAGGAAATTGCCTTACGAATGAGTGGTAGAGTTTAATCAGTATGACGATTTAAAGTGTAATTTGCTTACCTATAAAACAAAGATTGTTTGACTTTGTCTTTGATTTTTGACCCTGGTTATGATATTAACCAATTTTGAACAAAAAAAAAAACAGGTTTTCTAGTTCTTCTGTCATGTCTAGAGTTCTGTACTGTAACAGTAGAATTCCCACAGACTAATAGACTTCCTATATCATATTGTGAGCACTACGTTTTTTATTTTTTGTTTTGTGATTTAGATTTTAACTTTGAATTTTTTTTATGTTAATTTTTTTTCTGAAATGATTAACTAATTTTATAATTTAAGAATATGGATCATACACATCTGATATCAACGATTTTTATCATTTTTTATTTTATTTTATTTATTTATTACTGCGTTCCGCTTTTGAAAGGTAAACGGTAAAGGGGTGCCTCTCCACACGACGTACCATTTCTTTCTTGTACGTTACCTTATGCCGATTTGGCAAATCCTTCCACCACGATGGCAAGCAATATTGTGTATGCTATTGAGACGATAGACAGGAAGGGGAGTTGGTGAAACTACAGGCATATGGGGCTTGTCAACGTTATGTTTCAGGGTGACGGACGCAGTGGCAGTGTCCATCACATCTTTACGATTTAAAACTCGGAGTGGCACTGTAACTGTTATGTATAGGCGCGTCGCTTACCTGGGGACGCACATTTTTTAAATTATTTCCGTGTATTCTGATGTAAAAAAAATTGAAAATCGTCGATACTTTAGAAGCTTGGTAAATTTCAAAAAGCCCGGGAATAACTTTTATTATATAAAAAAAATCGATCTGAAAAGTTAGTGGAATTACATTTATTTGCCAAGTTTTATTGAAATCGGTTACCGGAAAGTCAGAAAATCTGATTCATTCCCTAGTTTGCCACCCATAGAGGTGGAATATTTTCTACAAATTTAAATGAGACCAATACTGAAGTACCCCTCTTTCCAAATACAACACAAACACAAACACAAACAAATGCCGGAGTAATCACGTATCATACTTACAAAAAAAAAACAATCGAATTGAGAACCTCCTCCTTTTTAAAAGTCAGTTAAAAAGTACAAAAAATCCTGCATTTGCAAGAGTGAGAAAACTGTTAGATATTTTTCAAGTGTTCTTACATACTTGAGGGAAATCAAAACGTGAAGTGACTGTGATTAATTTGTAAAAGAAATTACCGTTATAAACTGTTTCTTACCTCTTTAGTTTTAACAGGGTCGATACCCAAACTGTGCATGAGCCTTAGCACCTGTTCATTGGGCTCTTGATGCGACGCGACATGCGCTGGGCTCCGAGCCGGGTCTGCAGCCACAGTCGGTACTGTGTAGGGCTCTGCTGCCATCCATCTGTGCTTCTTGATTTGCTCTATTGTGTACCGCTTCATTGGTTCCAGGACTAGCATCTTGCGGATTAGAGACTCGCAGTCTGTAACAAACAATAAGATTGATAATAATAACAATATTTCGATACCTCCAATGAACACTAAGCAAACTGATTTTTTTGGTCATTTTCTGTTATTTTTGTAAACAGTCATATTTATTTACGTATATTATTCTCCTCGAATTTTGTAAAAAAAATAAAAAACAAAAAACAAAATTTGAAAAACAAACAAAAAACTAATTTTGTAAAAAAAAGAAACAAAATAAATAGAACAGGTTCAAAAATTAAACTGGCGTAGTGTTTATTGTGTGGTGTCGATTTGTTTATTTTCTCCCACAATATATTTTTTTTAAATAAAGGGAACAAGTCAAGAGCACACCAAGCTTGTCACTTTGTACTTTGGACCGTTCTTATCGTAACCACCTTAGAGTTGGATTTAAGTCGTAAATGTCAAGCTTGACGTGCTCTTGACTCTGTACGTATTGATATGGTTAATGATGATAAATAGCAACCAAAATTGGAAATGAAATGTTGGTTTGTTAGAAAAAAAACCAAAATATACGCTATTATATCCGATATAGATCCGAAAAAATAGTTTCAGTTCCAATGAGTAGCAATCGCGAAAATGTAAGAACTCGATAACAACTAATATTGTTTTTTTTAGGTTTGTTTTCATTCATTGTGTTGTTTTGTTTATAATTTTTTGTTTTTCATGCCCAAAGTAACGAATGGAGAGGACTTGGGTCGGTGTTAATTTTCATTTTATTTTTAACAAAACAGTATCGCTTTATTTATATTATCATGTACACAAGTATAGTTGTAAAAATCTCAGATATCAAACCGTGTGTAGTTTCATATCTTCGTTCATACGTACACTTTTGTAGATTATTGTACGTACCTATACTTTCTTAGTAATTTTACCTACAGAGTATCAACGTCACGGCAACATGTGATTTTTGTCTTTCCTTGGGTAAACACCTATTAAGTCCGTGATAATAGGAAATCCCCTGAGTAAACTCATTACCAAGTGCATTTGTTTCAAGTTTTTCCTAGCCGTACTTTCCTGTAACTGTTAATTCTTTAATTATTATTTCCTTTTTTTTTATTAGTTTTACGGCATCGGAATAAATCCATCAAGCTAAATCTTCAACAATTTTTTTCATATCTTTTTAAATACTGTGTTTAAGAGACTTTCTTTGAATATATTTCAGATATTTGAAGGTATCGATATCTGTTCAATGGGGGAAAGAATGTATAAGGTTAGAATAATAACGCAAAGTCTTCGTAAGTAAGAATGCATATATACAAGTCTTCGTATTCTGCAGTAAAGATCAGCACCTTTGACATTTAGTTTTTTTTAAACTTTACCGGCGTTGAATTGGTGTGGCAAAAATTTATTCTATTTGAATAGTTAAATAAATACTATACATATTTCAATGCAATTTATCCATACGGAACGTAGGTGTAATGACCTACGAATCATCTGCGTACATTCTCTGGTACTCGTAGTACAGGGATTTCCCTAGTTTGAGACCAGACAATAGTGTGGCGGTCTACCACGTTAATGTTAAGGGTAATAATTGGCACATCAATGTTAAGGTAATTAATGGAATATTAACAAATATTCTTTCAGTTAATTATTTTTAATAACAATACCTATGTAGGTACAGCTAAAGTACAAGTTTATGTGAAAAAAAGTTGTAAATTAATACAAAGTTTGATTTAAACAACGTTTTAGTGTTCTTGTAAATACTTTTTTTCATTATATCAAGTGACAATAGTTGCAGTGCCACTCAGAGCTTTAAATCGCAAAGATTTTAGGGTCAATGCCACTGCTCCCGTCACCCTGAGACATAAGTTGACAAGTCCCATGTGCCCGTAATTTCACCAGCACACTTCCAAATAATAATAATAATAATAATAACAACGCACACATTCAACATAGCCCCACACTAGGGAAGTCCTATGTCTAATATAATGTAATACATAACCACAAATTACACCCAAGCTCACGAGAGAAATATATGTAGGCCATACACATATTTCTCCCGGCCCGGGAATCGAACCTGGAATCTCTGCGTGGCAGTCCGGCATGGTAACCGTTCGGCCACGGAGACAGTCATACATCGGAACACAGTAATGCTCACATTACTGCTTGGCGGCAGAAATAGGTAGGGTGGCAATACTTCTTTGGTAAAATCTGAAAAATATAATCCCACGCCGATTTCACGCCATGCCGCCGCGTTTCTCATTTAGGAGCTAAGCACCTACGTGTACAGTCCAAAATTAGTCCGTCGCTAGTTATAATGGGCTATTAATTTGATTATAGGGCCTTATTTAGTACGTCATCGAACGGTTTTTAAACGCTAGCTGAGGTGCGTATTAAATACGTGTTGATTATTATGTTCACCCTCGTGACTCTATTCATTGTTTTGACACAAAGAAGCATAGATTTGACTAAAGAACATAGATATTATAATATGAAGCGGGATAATCTACCACCCGGGGGTCGAAATGCCGACAATCTCCAAGGAGAGTGAATTGCACACCGATTTTCATGGTGCTACCATCTCTGAAGTCCTGGTTCGATCCCCGGCCTTGTTAATGTAGAATTAACTTTTCTACATTGTCCCGGGTCTGGAGGTTTGTAATACCGTCGTTGTTTCCGATTTCCATAATACAAGCGCTTTGATTACTTACTTTGGAATCAAAGCAACGTACGAGATGTCTACTATTTATATTTTATATGTAATATTAAAGGTGAAAAGGGTCTATTATTATTTCCTTTATGACGGCCACTAGGCTTTGGCCAGTATCAGTTTATAAGAACAATATAAAAATTATGGCGATCGTCTAGTGATGAATCGCGCATCGCTATATTTTTTTCGATATTCAGACTCATTAGTAATTACTAATCCTGTCATTCGAATGACAAATTAGTAGTAACTTACTAATTTTCGTATTCGAATGATCTGAATGATAATTCATTACTAATTAGTATCACTAATCCATAGATTCCATAGAGCATTTCTGCCTGGTTTTCTCTGACATATATTTACCGTAAATGTGACGGAGACAAGGTGACTTTATGTTTTGATATGGACATGGTTCCACGACTCGAGTCGCGAATGATTGTGCTTGGATTCGACACAGGCGTATGATTTGCTCATTCGAATGATTAGTATTAGTAACATTCAAACTCGCGCATCGCTACGATCATCGCCAGTGTCAATGTTGAAAATGGCCTATCTATGCATGAGACATTCTAGCGGTCGACGACCGATTGATAGGTACCATGGAGTATACAAGCAGAAATAGAGAAGAAATGTCATTTAATTTGCTTGAAAAATATTCTGCCAAATCATTACGATGACAACTGCGCTCTATTTGGCCAGCCCGAATTCGAAAGTTTAACTTGAGCATTGCTGTACTGTTACTGATGAAAAGTGATTCCGTTTGTTTTGTAATTAGGTGTTTTGCTGTTTTTCCCACATCGCCGAATGGAACAGCAACTCATTGTTAGAGTTTACCTTTGTTATAATAAATATAGAATATTTTTGGAACATTTGGAGATGTACGCATAGGTCAGTTGTTGGCGCTGTACTATTTCAGCTTTCTAATTTGTGATTTCAGCGCAAACGAGAGTTGATATTTAAAGGTGACATAAGGCCCATTTGCCTGATCAGTTGCCAGTGATGGATGGCCCTTATTACGTCTCTGTTACCGGTTATATACTCGATGCTCGGCACAAATACCGATGGAGGGACAAAGTGGAGAGAAACCAACAACTCATTGACCAATTCGATGAGCCCGAACACGTTGTGTTACAGTGAATAGTTGAGGAGTTAGGTAAGTCACCATATTGTTGTAATGTCACCGGATTTCCATAGCATTTTTTTAATAATACCAAGTGACGGGAGGAACAAGTCGTGCGCCTGATGGTAAGCGACACGCCTGTCCATAAAAGTTGCAGTGCCATTTAGAGCTTTAAATAGCAAAGATCTGAGCGGCACTGTCACTACACCCGTATACATAGGTTGACAAGTCCCTTGTGCCTGTAATTTCACCAAAATACCTATGTCAAGTCGATCATACTAGCGGTAAGTACGCTTAAGTTTTCTAATTAAAATTAGTAAATTACATCACCCAGAGCATCTTGCCCAGGTTGCACCATTTCCTCTATGGATTATCAAACTTATTCTTTAGCAGAAGTAGCTTCTAGGTCCCTGGTCATCAAAAGGATTCAACGAGGTATGACAAATACTTATGTATGATATACATATTTGTGAAAAAAATAAAATAATTATTGTGTTATTATCCACTCGAGCACAACGCTGTCGTCGCCGGCAGTACTTCCACCTTACCTATTCCTGCCGCTAAGCGGTAATGTGAGCATTACTGCGTTTTGGTTTTGAAGGGTTAAGGGTGCTGGTGATCGTAGGACACGGGACTTGTCAACTTATGTGTCAGGTTGACGGACGTAGTGGAATTGTCTCTCAAATCTTTGCGATTTAAAGCTGTGGACAAGCGTGTCGTTCGCAATTCCGTCACTTGGTTTCAGGAAAACATACTTAAACAAGTATGTTAGGCATACTTACGTATACAGATTTAGATATTTCTAAGCAACGAAACCGTTGTCGAATATTTCTGAGAATTTACAAGCGGAAAAAGGTAAGTAAGTACGTGAGCGCCATACGACGCTTTTTACTTTTTTCAGCACTTCGTGTACGTGACATATTTATTTATTTTGGGGACCCTTGAAGGTCGCGAGATTTTTAAAAGGTGCACCCATCAACATTTGGAACCCTCTGAAATCGAGGAAAAATATTCACAGGTACAAAGTTGAGATTAAAATTCTATTACTTACGTTATTCTTTGTAAGAAGTTCGTGCATTAATACATGTTCGAACGTGCTAAGGTCGAAAACATCTACTATAAAAATATTAACGTGCAAAAACTAGCAAATGGTTCAATTTGCAAATTGTAACATTGTGGTTTTAAATATAATGTTAAATTGTTCATGCAAAAATAATTTTCTTCTAAAA